TCGGCTGTTAATTTCGATTAATTTCGATCGCTTGGGTGCCGAGTAGGTCGGTTATGCGGATTTTTTTATTCATACGTGTATGTAATTGGTCTGATTTATATTGTGTTTCAGTATGCATTTATATAGAAGTGTATTATTGCTCCGTATTGACTGGTTGAACTCATTCATGGGTATATTTTACCTATGACTTTATGAATGAAAATTAATAACAAAGGTCATTATTAGCTCATCTAATTATAATGTACTGTAGGAGACGATAGTAATCAGGAGGAACCATAGATGAGTCTCTCAAATGCTTCAGATGTAGAGTAAGAGCTCAAATAAATTTCGAATAATATTTAGATTACAAATTATTACGTTTCTGTATACCAATTTACTCTTTGTACATCATTATAAAGTTTAAAAAGATGATTCACGTACATCATTACTTCTGGAACGAAAATCAGCCATCTGCATTAGACAATAAATTTGTTAAAATGATTAAAAACAAGATAAGGTATACCGTTATAACACTTATAAATACCTATAATAATTGAATTTACAATTCTTGGGGGAATTTATAGTTCCTGAAAAATCGTTATTTCTGGAGATGACCGGTTCTTGAATCAAATTCTTCATTATTTCTTTATAGTAACCCTACTATTGGCAGCATTTACGTGATTCTTGCATCAGACGAGAGCTCTTTTATCGGTAGGCTATATTCTAATCTGAAAAATGGGCAAAAATAGAGATGACTGTTTGTTTCACCGAAGTCTTCAATTCATTTCAAGGTCATCGTATCAGAAAAGATTATTCTCAATTGTCAAAAGTATTTGCAGCTACAGACACCTTTCGATTATCGTCCCGAACTCGGGTCCGCGCCAGGACAATAATCGTATAGGGAGAAATGCTTAAGATTCTCGTAAATTCGTTTGTTGCCCACAGCCCGAGCCTCGGCAACAAAGTGTGCGCTTGACAGGTTCCACGCCCCCCTCTCCAGTGGTGGGGATAACGTCTGACAATAATCGTGTAGAACAAGTCAGACGATAATCGAGAGGAGTCTGTAGTTGGAACAAGATTATTCCACGATGAACGTTTCTAGTCTAGTGTATCGGTTTAAAAACCGACACGCGGTGATCAGTGGCCGAAGGATGAAATTATCCAATTTTATTCGCCGCGGGGGGGAATAAAAACTCGGACGAAAAACACATCTTTCACGCGTCGCTCCAATTTGCCTGCTAAACTGTTGCGCGCAATAGCAATTTCGTGGATGGAATCCAGTTAACTCTCGGGCGGCTCCGCGTAGAACTCAATCGGCCTTTCGCTCGTTTCGCGGTAACTATCGACAATACGACCGGTATCGACTTCTCCCTTTACTAGACAGGAGAGGGGTGAATTCGTAAGCTACTTGCCGAACTTCCGCGAACACACGCTCGCCTGGATAGTTCACGATCGAAATTAGATCATTGACCGCCCTGCAACGGTTTTCTCCGCTGCCATCGGACAGCTCCGGGCGACATGGAGTGTTCTCGGTCGGATTCTGCCGATCCAGGCCCCTACCGATTCTCCGTTTGTTGCTCGTTCACCGACGCATCGGTAATGACTGTTCTTCGTCGTTGACCTGCTTCCATCGGAGGATTTTGCGTTGTTGGGTATTCGCGAGGGACGTGGGAGTTTGGACATGGGAAACGGGGCAACCTAACTGGACCAGCTGATATAATTGGGAGATCACGTGGCGCTGGCAATTCTGTCGGTAAACTCGACGAATAATTCCATGTTCATGATCATGATAAATATTGTAATGTATCATCACCGAATAATTTCTCGGATGATGCGAGTCTTCTTTGAGATAATGTTGATGTTTAGGAATTATTAGGACTACTGATGATCTGGCGAGATAATATTTCTATAATTTAGTTCTCTAGAAAAGAGATTGAAGAGATATTAAATTTTATAGTAATAGTGTTACCAGGTTAAACAGGAAGTAACGATCCTTTAACAGTTTGTTCGCCACGTCACCCACTTACAGTAGGTGACACAATTTTTGGTTTGTAATTCAAAACTAGTCTTTATGGCGAGATAGTGAATGAAACAAGTCTTATGCAGTCTTGTGGAAAGGTTAGAAGACTAACTACTCTGATGAATCTTGAATTACAAGTAACTATACGGTTAAAAGAAATGCTTTCACTTCGTGGACTTTTCCTGGGTGTTACTTTAACACTCGACGTGTTAATGAGGATAATTGTGTATAGGGTATTCCGGGATTAAGTTGACAAACTTGTCGAGCATGTTTAGCAGTTCGAGTAACTTACAGGTTCACAGTTATGTCAAGTCATTAACCAATTAGATTGTGTACACTATGTGTCTGTTATAGTTTCTTAAAAACTCATAAGAAAAGTTAAATATTATAGGTACATTCACACGCGTAACAATGTTACTTCAATTTTATGATTGATTTATGCTTTACAGGGAATGTTCACGTTGGCGTTAAAAGAGGCCCATCGAAGCATAGAAATTGATCATTAAATGCAGTTTGAATATTTTCGTTTTTACAAAAAGACATTCCTCAAGAAGCATTTTCTAGATCTATAGTATATACAATTTTTACAGTTTGAAATGATTTGTTAGGTAGCTTGGCAAAATTCATCGTCATTTAAAAATAACAAATACATGAAAAATAAACACAACTGTAGTTCATAAGAAGCTGTGTGCAGTATATCATTTTTGACAGAACTCGTTAACAAAAATCACTTTTAATCGTAAATACACAAAATCTAAAATACTAACCACTCCTTTCACGCGATATTTAGATCGTTGTATCGAGTAGATTACTGTCCCATTTGGATTTAGAATAGAGATGGATATCAAGTTTTCTTTGTAATCCTGTTTCTTTCGCTATGATTAGGGCAATTTTTCTTTCTTTCACAAGGTCCACGTAATATGATTCATCGAAGGGCGTCGCGTTATCACGTTTACATGAAACGATTGTTATATCGTGGATGATTAATGTTTTCTTGATACCAGTTTTTCCATTATCCGTCGAGTCACAGCTCGTCTCCGGATCCTAATTCCGCGAAAGTCCCGGGAATTCCATCGATGGCTTTAACACACTTTTGGAAAGACTTTCCTAAGAAACTCTCGACCCTTCGGTGTCGGGTACGGATCGAAGATTCACGGAACCTGGAGCTTTTCGATTTTTATCAAGTTTTCCGTGAACGTCTTTAGGACACGGGAAGAGATATACAAGGGAACGTTTCATCGGTTTTCGATTTTTGACACGGCGTGTCCTCGCAGCTCGCCCGAGTAATTGTCTCCGCTCCGTCGTGACTCAGTGCCGCAGCAATATCGATTTGCATTATGCCCCGGCAAAATCGGTTCCTCGCGGAAATTGAACGGAAACGGAAGGAAGTACGGACTCTGTTAAAAATTCTTTTTACCTCTCCCCCTTTCACGTTCGCCTGGCGAGTGTCCAGCGCGTCATGTTAAGAGACTCTGTTGGCGATAATCCGTAAAATATTGATAATTTAACGATATGCTTCGGTAAATCTGGAATAAGTACGGTATTCACGAAACCCTGAAATTCCTAATTTCTTCTTTTATCACACTTTATGGTAACATTAACAGTAAAATCTTTATTACGTCAATCGCTTGCACAACGGTGTAAATGTGAGCTTGTTATTAACCTTAATTTGAATATGGTATACCTACTAGAAATAAGATTTTTTGGGATTTTAGATGTAACTAGACAATCACTGAAGTTACTGTAACTTCACGGAATTCACCTCTAATTAACACAAAGAACCAGGTTTAGTTTTATCATGTTGGGACTTACTGAGTAGTTTAATTAAAGATACGGAAGATTTACAACTGAAATCGAAAGATAGGTCAGTTAAATTTCTTTTTCGCTATCAGATAACCAGGGACTAGAGATAAGCTTAGAAAGATAATTAAGGGATCATTTTACTTTGAGGACCGAAAAAGTTAAGCTATCTTTAAGGATTTTTTCCTCAGTAAATACAATGTGTAATCAAGTGCATGTTGTCAGTATTTATTGAACTACTTATAAATGATATGAAAGAATTGCGAAAATAATTTTATTATATTTTATTTTAAGTTATCTTTTATCATGAAAGTGACGTATCAAAAAAAGGTACCTATCTCTACGGCGCCGGTGATTTCACAGTTCAGACAGATCTGAAACAAAAAATTCAAGGAGATTCTTAATTAGTATGAGTGGCGCTATCGCACAAATCACAATAAAAAATTTATCTTAAAAAATAACGAAATGGCGCGGGTCCAATAGACAAATGAAAGAAAAGCACTTTTTTCCGATGATTTTGTTGTGTAAAAAGTATGCTAAATTAAAGATATAAACATGACTGTAGTTCCTGCGACAGCTACATTCATACCAATTAAGAATCTTCTCCAATTTTTTGTTTCAGATAAATCTCAACTGTGAAATCACTTTCGCCGTGGAAATACCTTTGTTTGACACGTCACTTTCATGCTAATAGAAAACTTAAAACAAACTATAACAAAATTACTTTCGCAATTCTTTCATATCATTTATAAGTAGTTCGATAAATACTAACAAGAAAAACATACCTAAAAATAGCTTAACATTTTCGGCCATTAAAGTAGAACGACCGCTTAAAGTCGCGAATGATTTACAACTGAAATCGAAAGACCAGATCCCAAGTACAACCAGGAGCCCGTAAACCCGTAGATAGAAATAGTATTTGCGCTCCGTATCCGCGAAACGGGGAAGTCCTTCCCGAGATAATTAATATCGCCGTACACCGCAAGGGATCCGAGCGACATCCTTCCGGTGCTTTGCACACATCCGAGGTAACGTGGTTTTCCTTGATTCTTTTTGTTGCAGATCCCGTGGTGCCGTACCGAACAGTTCGCGTCTCCGTCCTTTCGGCTTTTATCGGGACGTTTCCCGTTTTCCATTTCTCCCCTTTTTCCTCCTCCTCCTCCTCCTCCTCCTCCTCCTACTCCTCCGTCGATGCGTCGGGACGATGGCGGCGATGGTGTATAATGGGAATTAAATGAAAATTCGCGAGTCTCCCGTCGAGCTTTCACGGTGGTGATCCAGTTTCCGTAAATCCGTCGCGGCGCGTCGCGTGCCATCGAGTCCCTCGAAGCTGGGATCGTTTGGGAGGGGGGGGGGTTGAAATTTGGATCGTGAAGCATTCGCGGACGAACACTATCGCGCGCGCGCGCCCCCGCGTCCAACTGACCGTGTAAAGTATCCACTCGTCATTTCCCGTCGACGAGATGATCGTGAACGCCGCGAGCCGGTTGTGCGTTTTGTTGCTGATCGGTGTTCTCGTGAAATCGGAACCCGCGCCACGCCCGCGACCCGCGCCAATCTACACCAATCAATTTGCGGTACACGTGCCGGATGGACCGGAAGCTGCAGCCGATATCGCCGCCAAATACGATTTCGACAATTACGGACAGGTGAGTGGAGCTTTCTGTATCCGTCGTGCAATTAAGTGTTGGGTGCTGTTTGACCAGTTGGAACGGATCTTTTGGGGTACTGGATTTAACCCTTTCGATTATGGATGGGTTTCTCGAAACCTCGAAACCCCTGTTTTTTGTCATTCGAAACTCTTGAAATCTATTTAAGAGAAAATATGAAGTCGATGAATGAATGCCGAATATTCGGTGCGAAGTTAATACTAAAACTACCAAACCCGTCAGTGACGGATTACAGATTCGCTATTTTACCATTACCAAAATTATAATGGTGCTTTTGACGGAATTTATGTTGGTTCTTTTTTTTTAGTAAAGATTTTATTTTACGGTATATTATTCCAGATTGTCTTATATATTCTGTACATTAGTGTATTATGTAATTTAATTTATATAGTATTCATTCAATGCTGGTAGTTCTAATGTTAAGGATACAACATATAAGCAGATTGGCAATCGCTCGTGAACGTGGAAATGCGGGTTAAGAACATGTGATTCGTGTGAGCTTGACTTAGGTTTTTTCAAATTTTTTTTTCAATTATGTATTGTAGTACAAGGTAGGATCTGCTAAACTATCGAGTGTTAGTACTAAAAAAAGGATAAGTGAATACATTGTTATGTTTTTGTTTGTGTTCCGTTTAACTTTTAACTCCTTACAAACCAAAATCACCGCTTCAGGTTTCGAGAGTTTCGAGTATTGAAATCTTACATAGGTTCGGATTCGAGTTTCGAGAATTTAAAAATTAAGTTCCACCTCTACTTTCGACCCTAGTGGGACACATACGTCCCGGTGAATATTTCTGTTTCTCTGTGGAACAATGTGTCACGTATGTGCGATATTTTATACTTTTTTAGTTTGTCTGACTGTATATTACTATGTTTGATTGGTAATCATGACAATAAACAACATAGCAACGTGCAGGTTAATCTTTGTTTAGGCAGTGTACATGTGACTGCAGAGTCACAGTGGCAGAAATCTAATTTTTTGCATGTGTAATTGAACGATTCCCTTAAATTTTTATCGTAGCCTTTCACTTTATGGTCTAAAGTAGCTGTTTTGTTTAAATAATTTATGAATTAGTATATTTTTATTCTTCTTCGTATTGAACATAGCGGTACTTGTGCGTTTTTGAGACCTGTATGCCCCATTAGGTTGTTTCATTCTCATTTTTAAATACGGTCGTTGATATTACGTAAGTATATCGCGTTTGGTCTTATTTTAATCATAGAAGTATCACAAAAATGTCGGTATTGTGCTTTGCAAAATACCATATCTAACTGACTTGAAATAAAAAATTAATGTATTATAATGCATTAATCTGTACCTAACAATTTATTTGAAAGAGAAGATTTAATACCCACTGCATCTTTGACTACCAGTTTTTGATTTAGAAAGTTTTCTTGAAACTGAAACACTCTAGTCACGAAGTTTTATTATTTTTTTTTGAGTTTGAAGACCTTAGTATCGATGGAAAGTATTATTTCTGTAATTAATAAATTAAATTTGAACTGTTACAAATCTTTAAGGTGTTGAATATCAAAGGGAGAAGATTCTTTCAAGTATCTATTCAATTAGAATGTGTGTTACGTTTTGGAAGTTCAATTTATCATAATTCAACAAACATTTCCGGAAACTTTGAAAGTTATGGAAGTAACCTCGCGTAATAATTAATAACTTATTCCGAAGACTCTTAAAAACTCCAGGCGCTCGGTGTATGCTGGGACATTTAAGACTTCGAGACCCTTGGTAGTTCCAAGGACATTCAAATTCGATAAGCCTATTTAAGGTTTTCAGAATTTTTCGAGACTTTGGTGAATCTTTGTTGCCGAATAATATTTGAAATGATTCTTGAGACTTTCGACTGTCGCTCACTTTTTTCCATAAATATATAGATCGCTCCAAATTTATAATATAATATAGTGTACTTCCTCGTAATATTTATAATTATATAATATTAATAATTTAAATTTTTCGTGAGAGGCTTTAAAAAAAAAATTAAATTTGAATATTAATCAAACACGCTTGAATTTAATTACGATTGACTGATGTCTGCGTATAATTCAATAATTCCACTTGTAATAAATACATACAATAATACGGTAATATCAGTTTTTTTTGTTAATTTTCTTATTCTACATTTGTCCATTCTTGCCAGTATAAAATAAATCACTGACAATGCTTATAAATATTAATACATACAAAGATAATCATTGACAGACTGAAATTATAATCCAGCCTTGAAAATTCCTCTCTGCACGAACAAATTTTATTTCATATTTTCAATTTGTTCTCGCACATAGATTACAGCTCCACTAAAAGTTATACAACAACTTTTCTGTTATTACGCTAAAAGCACATGCATATATAGGAAATATAATTTTTTAGGCTGCACGATTAACTCGTAAAAGGTTCACCATACAATTAGTCAGTCGCTGAAAAAACTTTAATTCGTCGAATCGTTTAAAATAATTCGCAATTAAACAGGTAATTCGTTCGCCATATTCGTTCGTGTTATGTACCTAAATTCGTCGTGGCGTCTTATCGCGGCCATCAAATTCATTATGAAACTTTTACGGCGATCAACCTATGCCGGATTGACATAGTTCGCTAATAGGTTTACGTCGCGGTTTTACTTTCGCGTGATTCAAGTTTAATGTTCGCTCGATCGCGATACCGCGGGCATTACAGAAACTACCAGGACATTGTAACCGTTTCACAGTTGAAAGTGTTTTTAATAGTTACGCAGCAGCCGGCCGAGGCGATACGGCTTCGATAAAAGCAATCTTTTTCGAGATAGCGTCTCACGTTTGAACTCGTTCCTCTTGTCGCTGTGTTCTGTCTCACGCTGGGAAAAGCGAATCGGGCTGGGCTGCACTAACAGCAAAAAAAAAATCCACCACGAACGTCAGTCACTCGATTTATTCCCCCTGACCTGCTGCCGGTGTTCTTACCGTTGAAACACGGAATTGGTTTGTTTCTCGTGAAATTGTAGATCCCACGTGTGTATTGTGTGTCACGCAAAGTGTAGTTACTATCGATCAAACCATGATTATCCATGAAGAAATAAATTGAAAATGAGGAATAAAATTTTGTTATGTAAGACTTCGTTTTCGAGAATATTGTTTTTGAAAATGTACCCAGTATGCGTGCATTTGTCTTCTAAGTAATTGCTCGATGAACCTTGGTGTACATTACTCTTTATGTGGAATCTACTATCTTATCAATGCGCGGCAAGCAAAATATTGAAGATGACACAATGTTTACTTTCGAAAAGTTTTATTTTATTATTATCTTAGAAATTGCTGGAAGTGTTGTTCGTGTTATTGCAAACATACACTTCCGTTTATAAGACATTCGTTAGATACTGTTTTGAGAAAAATGAAACTGGAGACAGAAGTGGGATTTCCAGAAGCAATTTCAGTGGGTAGTCACTAGACTGCGGATGTCTATGCATTTATAGCAAAATTTCAACTGCAGGATGTAGTAAAATAAAGCATTTGATAAAACTTAATGATGTTTATATGTTATTATCGACATAGTCAGACATCTAGCACGAACAGGAAATAAATTTCTGTCTCGTTTTCATATTTATAAATTCACTCTAGAACAACCACACCCGTCAATATGACGGATTCTAAATTTCTTATTTTATAACTACTGAGGTCATAAAGGTGCTGTCGTTCACATTTATTTTGACTTTTAGTTTGTTATAAATTTTGCATTATACTGTATTCCGTTATATTGTATTATATATTATACATATAATACATGTCAGTATACAGTATAATGCAAAATTTACACTATGTACAGTGTAGTTTAGCATAAATTTAACGATGTCAGTTCTAGTGTGGTTAATTGTCTCAAATTGTGAATTTGCATAAACGTCAACAGTCTAGTGATCCCCATTAATCCATTTTATTTAGAAAAATAAAACCGTCAGGTGCTATGTAAATATCTAACGTGACATACACACATCCATCTTCCTCCGTGCATTAATTTAAGTAATCGCACGTGTCGAGCATCAGTTGAATATCAACGCGCGCTGGATTCAGTCTGACGACTTTCTTGAACGCAGGCCAAATTTATTTTATTGAGTATCTTACTCGCAGAATGAACTCCCCGGTGCTATATTTGAACCGGTGTGTCACTCACACGGGAATGACGGGACGGGGCGGTCATGAATCTTTAAGTCGCTGTATCACTAGCGACAGGGCCCAGACTCTCCTAACTTCGCGACAGAGTCCCGCTCTTTCTTTTTATATGCATTACATAGTTCCCTGCCCTATCCAGCCCGCAAGAAGCAATAACATTTTTTACATCTGTGTGCGGACGCCACCACGTAAGTACAGTGGATCACTGTCGGGGGATTTTACACGGGAGTCCGTGTGCTCTCTTCGATCCAGATGACGTTACGGCGACGAAAAAATTTTACAACCGTTCGAACGACTACGCTCCCAATGACGACTCTGATCGAACGGTTATCGCCACCTGAAAGTCTCATAATCGAGCGACTATAAATCACGTTCGTAACGATGCTTTTCACGAGGCTTTTCGGGAGCTTCGATCTCTAAGGCACCCCGAGCCCTCCCCGGTTATTTATTTCGTTTGCGGTTCCCCCATTCTTGTGCGCGGTCTGGTCCCGTGCTCCATCGAAAATTTCATCGCGTCAGCTATCAGGGGAGGTATCTCGTTCCTCTCGCTAATTTGCAAATCCTTGTTACGCCGCGTCCGGGAATAAAAACCGCTGAAATGAAGTTTATCGGCCGGGAACCGTAACCTAAAGTTTCCGTCACGCGGTTTTGTTCTTGTTATTCGTAGCCAAGAAACTCTAGAACCTTTTTTGTAGTTTAAGTATTGTAGATTTTATATGCGTATTCTTTTGCAATATTTTTGTTTGGATGTTATTTTATGTAATATTTTTCTTTTTGACGTTATTTTATTACACCGCTTGAAAGAATTACATAGAGAATCAGGTATTTCGCAA